GGCAAGTGGGCACAGTATATGCTGTGAGCCTGACACACAGGCTGGCAGGCAGGCAACTGCAATTACATTACACAGAAAGAAAAAAGCAGACTGATGTTCTAGCCCTAAAAAGGGCTTTTTGGGGTGCTGTCCTTACAGCAGAGATCAGATGAGTCCTTCAGGACTGTAGTGGACACTGAATACACTAGCCTAGCAATCAATTTCCCTATCAAATCAGCAGCAGCTACACTGTCCTTCCTCTCACTAAGAATGCAGCTTCACAATGAATGTAAAATGGATGCTGTCCAGGAGGTGGGAGGGTCTGGGAGGGAGGGTCTGCTGCTGATTGGCTGGAATGTGTCTGCTGACTGTGAGGTACAGGGTCAAAGTTTACTCAATGCTGACGAATAGGGGACGGACCGAACAGCGCATATGTTCGCCATCCGTGGCGAACGCGAACAAGCGATGTTCGCCAGGAACTATTCGCCAGTGAACAGTTCGGGACATCACTAGTGCTCAAGCCTGTGAAGGCAAACAAGATGCAAGCGTCTTGGCAGGGCCCGTACTGAGTAGTAACCCAGATATGTGATACTACCTACCTGATAGCCAGCTGTGCAGATGAAAGGGTTCAGAGATCCTTTCATGTGAACATGCTGAAGGAGTATCAGGAGAGACCTGAGAATATTGCTGCAGTATGCGCCCCTGCTGCAGATGATCCTGAGATTTACCCCTTCCCGATTTGTTAGAAAGGGACCCCCAGACTGACCTCACTAACCTTGTACAGCTAGGGGACAGGTTAAACCCCACAGAAAGGGTACAAGCGAAGCAGCTGTTGTGGGAGAAGCAGGCGACGTTCTCCCAGGAGCCAAGTTATACTACCCTAGCTGTACATAAGGTAGAGACCCCTGGACAGATCCCCCCTACAACAGCTGCCCTATCGTATCCCTGAAGCGGTCCAAGAAGGAATGCGGAAGGAGATACAGGAGATGACCCAGCTTGGGGTCATTGAACCCTCCGACAGCCCTTGGGCCTCGCCTGTAGTCCTGGTGCCCAAGAAGGACGGGACCACTCGGTTCTGTGTGGACTACAGGCGACTCAACGAGCGGACCACCACTGACGCCCACCCAATGCCCCGGGTAGACAAATTACTAGATCGTATTGCCAGGGGGCGCTACCTGACCACCATAGACCTGTGTAAGGGCTACTGGCAGATTCCCCTGGCCGAGGATACTATCCCCAAGTTGACATTCATCACCCCCTTTGGCCTGTACCAATTTAAAG